TTTCTGACATTTTTAATCTCAAATCCTTTTTTAAATGTTTATCAGATGTTTATGCACAAATATAGCTACTTAAAATACTGAGCTTTCCAAATGATGCGCTTTCACAGATATCGTGGGGAAGTATGTATGCTTACTGGGGTATCACATACACATCTTTTTGTGACCATGATACGATCTGCGGTGGAATTCACAGGTCACTAATTACACAAAATAACATAACAGCTTCTGATTCCTCCAATGGTCTACAGAAGAAAGACAAAGACCCCCACGCCCCGGCCCGCCCCACACACACAGCCACAAAGACAGAGAGAAATGAAGACAGTAATCTGTGGAGTAGGGTGCACACTAAAACATTGGCACGCCCTGGGCGCTCATGTCTCTTGGTGTTAGTGGAGTGCAGTAAGGCCATGCATTCTCTCTATTACAAGACTCCCAGGCCTGTAATTAAGTGGGACATGGCAAAACAGCCGTCAGCGAGAAGGGAGGCTGACCTGGAAACCACGCTCTGTCCAAACAGATGATGCAAGAGACCCGTAAAAAAAGAATGAACATGATGCTTCAGTAATTGGTTTCAAACAGCATGTCTTTAGATTGAAAATAAAGCAATTTGCATCAATACCTCTAAATAAATGTACAGAAGTGTGAGCCAGAGGTGAGGAAGATGGCTTTTGCCAAACAAAAACATGCTTTGAATAGCGCTATCCATCACACTGCTGTGAGGATACCGCCTCCTTTATTTCTCGTTCAATTACATGAGGATGAAGAGATCTCACTGCTGTTATTGTTCAGATAATGGTTGATGGGAAACAACAAAAAAATCAATAGGTAAAGCCCAAAGTACTTTTCAAAGGCTGTAATGGAAAGAGATCTCCTAAGGCTGAATGGCATGTGTTTTGTCTTTAAGTGTCAGTTTGATGTCTACACTTGGACATGTAAGTGAATATTAAACAATTGTTAAATAATATTATATTATATAATAACATTATGCACTGAAATGGTTAGAAATGTCAAACCTGAATTAATATATTTTCATAATTTAATATCTATCAAGTATTACTTGATACCAATCAAAAGTTTGGGGTCAGTAAGATGTTTTGGAAAAAAAATGTCTATTTTGCTCACCAAGGCTATATATCTTTAATCAACAATACAGTAGAAATAATAATTTTGTAAAATATTATTCTATTGGAATACATTTTAAAATGTAATTTATTCCTCTGATGGCAATGTTGAAATTCTCAGTATCATTACTCCAGTCTTCATTGTCACATGATCCTTTAAATTTCAGGATACTTTGATTAATAGAAAGTTAAAAAAACAAAACAATTTATTTAGAATAGAATTTATTTTTGTAACATTTAGTGCATCCTTTGTTGATTAAAATTTAAATTAAAAAACATATTGACCCCAAACTTTTAAACGGTAGTCTGTATTTTTTTTTTTAAATATATATATATATAATTTAATTTTTTAACTTTAATTTAATTAAAATTATTTTTTTTTTTGAATTTTTACAAAATTTAAAAAAAAAATGTAATTTAATTTTTCCACATCATCTTACTACTTTCCTACAGCATACGTCATATACATGACATACTGGCACATAACTTCAATTATTGGAAGTTATTATAAAGTGCTCCAAAGTACACAAAATTAGCATTTCCCCCTTCCGCTATATAATAAAAAATCAACTTCCCTTTCATATCACTTCCATTTTATGTCAAAAAAATCTTTTGGAGTGGCCACCAGTTGAGAGCTTAAAAGCCGATTCTTATCTTCAGCCAAAAGGACATCAGATATCTAAATGGAAGCTTTTATAGAGTTAAAAGGTAAAAAGGTAAAATGAGCACTATAATAGAGTTCATAATGAATGAAACCGCAGATTCCACATATACTGATGCTAGCCATCAGAGCAGAACAAAACAACACAGTTAGAACCAATGTGCTCTACAAGAAGAATGAGCCTAAAAATCAAATGCAATAATTCAGTCCAAAGTCGTGCATTTTTAAAGGGATAGTTCACCAAAAAATGATGTTGATCACCTCATGTTGATCCAACCCCGTAAGACCTGGGTTCATCTTTGGAAGACAAATTAAGATATTTTTTGATGAAATCTGAGAGCTAAATCACTCCTCCATACTAGTCCATAGGCTTTATTGAGGGATTGAAACTAAATAAAAGTATTCTCATCACTTGATAAAGTTAAGATTGAGCCACTGTAGTCTTGGACTATTTTAACAATGTCTTTAGTAACTTTTCGAGGCCAGCAAGTTTCAATACTGACAGAATGTTAATTTTTGGGTGAACTATCCCTTTAACAACTTAAATTTATGATTGTAAAAAGCTAAATGTGTGAAAAGAGATCATTAAGCAGATACAATCAGTAATTTATGCAGCACTATGGACACCAAAAATGGAAAAACTCCGCCCTTCTCTGTCATTGGCCAGACCAAAAGATTGTTCCTCCTCAAACTCACTCCATTGGTTTACAAGTTAAATAAAGAGAGCAATGACAGCTGTTTATAATCAACCAATAGAATGCGTACTTAAAGCACATTAAACATAATAAAGTATTATATCAATGGAAAATGATGCACAAGATAAACAACTCAGTCATATACATATTTCCAAAAAGACAAAAAGAAAAGCGAACTGACTGGGTCTTGAAGAATAGGGAGGGATTTCAAAGATGAATTAAGACAAAAATGGGCCCAAATTTATTTGAAATAATGCAGATGAATTGTGCACATAAAGACCAGAAGAGCAAAGAATAATAAACAGACAAAATTTCACTAAATATTAGACTGTGTGATGCTGCAAAATACTGCGGGGGTGATAGACCCTATCTGAACGACACAACATCGACTTGAGCTTTGCAACAGTCAGGTCCAAGGCAGGCTGAACAGACACATCGGGGTGAAATGACCCTTAACTTACTGTGACTGGCAGAACCCAGTCAGGTATGAAGTCTGGCACAGCATCCGAAAAGCAGTATGTGCATGTCATATCCAGCTCACACACCTTGGTGCCATGAAGCTGATGGTCTCCCTCCCAGGATAATATGCTGCTTTAATGAGGCATAAAATCTCTGGACAAGCAAGGCCATTTTTCCTTGCTAACACCACAGCAACACAGAAGCAAGGTTGACGGTGAGCTGTGGAGAAATCTTTGGCGCGGTTGCTATGATATCCACAGGACTGTATAGACTAGAGTGACTCAACAAATTCCCATGTAAAAGATTGTGCTCTTGAGATTCTCTTTCGGGTAAATGAGAATACTTTCCCACACTAGCATACACACATCTAGTATGAAGAAAAAAGGAAGCCAAAGTGCATTTTTGTAGTAAACTGATGAATATCAGACTCAAAACATCATTACTCACTCTCATATCATTTCAAACTGGCATGAGTTTTTCTTTTTCTTTTAAAAAAACTCACATTCTTGCATTATATCCCACTCTTTTCAATCTAATCAAAGTTAATGGAACCACAAAAGCACCATAAAAGTACCACAAAAGTGTCTCGTAACTAATGGCACCAGATTTGATTGGAGAGACCAACTGAGTGGAAAATTATTAAGAAAGAGTGGCTTAAATTTCACAGAGCTATTGTGTTGCTTCAGAAGACTTGGAATATAGCTGTGTGAGTCATATGGACTTTTTAATGAAACTTTTATGGTGTTTTTTTGTAATTTTTGGAGCTTGATATGCCCATTACCCATTTGCTTTTTATTAAATGAAAAAGAGTAGCCAGCACAGCATATTCACCATACGGTTTGGAATGAGATGAGGAGGAGTAAAAAATAAAATACATTTTCAACACATTTGTTGAAAGGTACAACTTGGTGATGACAGGAAATAATCGGGTCAACAAGCATAAGCCAGATTTAAACTCATATTGCTTAACTATGAAAATTGTATAGCTCAGAGGATGTCTGATATGCTTTATTTGAGTATCAAATGTTCTACTAAAGTTTCCTATAGGAGAAATAATAATAGAATGAGAACAATTGGTGACGTACAATAAGAGCAATAAACGTGGCTGGATTAGATACTTTGGTTTTAAAAGAATTTGGGAAATATTTAAGTTTGCAAAAAGATCTCAGACTTTTGGAATCTGTAAATATGAACACATAATTTCAGATGATATCTCAAACTGGGGGGAAACATGCAAGAAAAAGCAGGAAAATAACCTCAGCAAGCCTCTATTTGTTTTTCATTCAATCTCATTGCATAAGGTGGAAAGAAAATGGGTTAGTAAAGAAGTGAGGTTGCGAGATATCGCTTTCAACAGTGGCAAAGTTATTGTCCAGTCCTCCATCTGAATAACACCCAGTATATACTCAAACGCAATTGCAATATCATCTAAACTCTTTGACTTTACCATTTTCCATGAACTCATGAACTCTTGTATACAAGAAACACACACTGAGGCTGAGAATCTGCTGTGTGTAGGTTACTGTGTTGAAGTCACATCAAAACAACATATGGACCCAGCATCCCGGAGCCTGATATTTCTTCTCCTGACAAGCTAAACAACACACAAGGAGCCGAATATTTCACAAGCATCTCTCACAAATTAGACTGTGGCTGGACCATTTATCCTGTGAGTAATCCAATTCATTTCTCTGATCCCTATTCATGGGGGAGAAAGATGACTCAGACATTTTAGCACTGCAATAAGTGACTCTAAACAATCCTAATAGAGATGAATAGAGAGGCTAAACGTTCGGAGAATAACGTGATGAATGCTGTAGGAGATACGACGAGCTGCAATTCGAGACGTTACGCTTAGACAAGACAAGAGGAGATCTGTTCATCAACTTGTTGGCACAAAATCATAAAATGAATGCTAATTCTAATCACGGAGTGATTAAAAAACGTGTAAACGGCACATAAAAAAGGACATATCAACAGCTTCATGGTGTTAGATGAATAAAACAATGACATAGCAACAACAGGAAGGCAAAAAAAGATTCTAAATCGACGGCTCCACCTTACCTGTCATTTTCGGCGCTCTTGAAGCCCGGTAAGATGTTCCTGAAGCTGCTGTGCCGGTCGAGCTTCGGTTGACTTTTGGTGCGTTTAATGGAACCCTTCAGTCTGCGGCTGAGAAAGCCCTGGATAGGAAGTCAGAGGAAAGGACTGTATTACACTTACAGATTCATTAACCTCTGGAGCAGCTGCATGTGAAAACTGGCGCTTGGCTTTTCTCCTTCTACTTGTTCTTTCCTCTCATCCGTAGAGTTTGGTTGAGCCGTGCATAGCTGCGCGATTGGTGCGGCGCACACATCTGCTCGCAGCGCTGGGCTGAAGGAGCTTCACTGATGTGATACTCCCCTTAAAGCTGCTGTTACCATGGAAACTGTTGGCTGGCATGGAGAGGGGGAAAAATACTGGTGTACTGCAAGTTCATAGGAGGAGAGCTGAGCTGGTGCTTTTCAGAGGATGTATAGATTAGGACAAGATTTAACGGACTCAAGTTATTCTTGATTGACCAAAGTCTATCTGAGTGAGAAGCTTTGAGAAGGAAAGGAAAGGAAAAAAGTGCATCTCAGGCATATAGATGCAATTAATTAGTGGGAAATCTGAATTAAGGCCTCATGCATGAAGTGAATGAATGGCTAATTGATCTTAATAAAGCACTCAGCGCCCGTTGTTGCTCAACAACCGATTAAGGGGGAGAAACAAAGAGAGTCACATTTTAAATGCAATTTAAAAGAAAAAAAAAAAAGCCAGAAAAATATATTTATATAAATTATATAATTTTTTTAATAAAATATAATCTATTTGTCTGTCTATGTGTCTGTCTATCAATCAATCAATCTATCTATTGTAAATGATGCATGAAATGCTGTGGCAGAAATCAGATTATTTGCTTGAAACTGAAAAATCTGCCACACTACCTATATGACCCTTTACCATAACTTAATCACATTTGCTAATTAATATTGTGGTCCTCATCATATTTCTAGGCTATTGAGTTACAACTGAGGCAACAAAATAGATCTGGGGCAATGGTTAGTCCCATGTGGCTTCTTATACTCAAGGAAAACTATCCCAAATCACATTGTGTTACTATTCAGATTGGGATTTGCCATGGGAACTGATTTATTCAAAGGCCAGCATTGATGCTGAAATGCAGATCCTATATAATGCCACATTTATAATAAAAATTCTAAATGATATCTTATAACTATGATATTTAAATGCATCATGTAGATCATTGAAACATTACATAAAACTCTTTAGTGAGTGGGTCAAACTCACTTATTACTCAAAACTGACAATTTCATATCAGTCGATATAGACGTATTGTAAGTAAATATTTCTGTTTTTAAGAGATGTCATGACTTGACTGTTCTCAATGGGTCATCTTTTAGACATCTTACATCAAAACTTCTTCAAAGAATATGTCTAAATTTTCCAGCTCTTTGTTTTTTCGGGAGATGAAATTTTTTTCACATGAAATTTGCCAATATTAGCTGAACTTCTCAATAGAATTATTCATGGAGCCAGTCAGGGTGAAGGAAGAACTGTGTTTGATGATGCTGTTGTTTGGAGCAGACGTGTAACTGGGGGCTGCAGCCGCAGTCTGGATCAATGACAACACAGTCTGCAGAGCTCCACTCCTGACACACACTCAAGCCGGGTAGATATTCTGCATCTTTCAAAATTAAACAATACGCCCGAGATGCGTCTATAGCCAAGTCTATCTTTATCACATGCATTTCCTTACAAATGAATGTTTCTCACAACATGATGAGTGCTTTACCACAAAATACATTTTATGTGTGAAACTCCACATTTGTCACAAACAGTGAGACAATGAGACAATTATCTATCAGAAAATGGTTGTTTTGTGAAAACTGGGAGTTACACACCAGAAAGGAGCTAAGCTACGGAATAGCCTACCCTCAAATATCAGATCTGACCAAACTCTGACACTTTTTAAAACTTCTCTGAAAACGCACCTCTTTACATTCGCTTTTAATATACCTTGATGTGTCCGTTTTTCTTGGTTTCGTACATGTATTTTGTACTTTTTTATTGCTTTGTAAGCACTTTGGTCAATGTCAGTTGTTTGTGCTATAGCTACAAATAAAATGTTATTGTATTGTAAGGTAACTGCAAATGTGCTAAAGAAATGCCTAACTAGCAATGTAGCTTTTGGTTAACATTATCCAATAGTGTGAAAGGCCATGATATCTGCAGAAAAACATCATGAAGATTTTTTTTTTTTTTTTTTTTTGCAATTACAAGTACAGACAAATAATTCATAATCAAACCAGAAACAAGAATTTGGAAAGTAACATAATATATTTAAAAGGTTAACGCTTTTGTCAAATCATGAACGCCAATCGGCATTACACACTATTCTAGGCCTAACATATGCGGTTATGTTGGCATCATGGCTCAGTAATAAGCTCTGTCAGCTGTCAAAAGGCTGAAGGTTTGCAGATTCCTTTACGTCTATTGTGTGCATGTACTGAATTCCTGTAATGGTTTGCTGCTGAGCCTGCACTTCTAACCTCCTCTCATCTCCCCCACTCCTGTAATCTTAATGCTTGGCCTCTCTCTGCCCTCTTGTGTCCATGCTTGTGAGTTTGTGTCTGACAGCTTTAATTGTGTGGCTGTCAGTTTGCAGACACGCCGTGAAACATTTTGAGGCTGATAAAACATTGATTTTAAGGCCCTGTTAAGATTTGTATAACCTGGTTCTTACTTTGTAAGACAGCAGAAGGCTAAGCTCTGTCCTGACCCCCAAACGGCACTGTTAGGCTGTTAGTCACACCAGAAAACATCTGGGGCTCTTTTCCAAAACCTCTTGAGACAGCATGAAGATTTTTCCAAATCATTTAAACTACTTTTGCAATGTTACAACTGTAGCCTTTAATGGGTTAAATACCTATTCCTCACTTGAAATTGTGTTTCGACAAGTAAGAAGCCAGTCCTGTTACAACCAGTTGAACTAAGATATCTCTCACCCTTATTGTGCCAATGCACCAAGGTTACAAGATAAACATTCCTGAAAGACATCTAATTTAAGATGAAATATTTCAAGAAGCGTCTCCTTATGCCAGGCGCACACTACAAGACTGAGGATAACAGTTCAATTGAAAACTCACAGTTTGGCAAATGGTTTTCTTGTTCAAAGTGGGTATTTTGCTTGAAACAAACATTTTCCCAATGGGTTGAGAGACAAATAAACTTAATTCAAGCTACACTCTGAAAACAAGACTTAATATCTTATTTTATAGGTTACACGTTACAATAAGGTTTCATTAGTTAACATGAATTAGGAATGAACAAGACTTCTACAGCATTTATTAATCTGAATTAAAGTTAATTTCAACATTTACTAATACGTTTTGATTGAAATCAAAAGTTGTGTTTGTTAACATTATAATGCGCTGTGATAATGCATCAATAAAGATTATTAAATACTGAGCGATTTGAACTTGTTTTACACTTGAAACAACATTCTCATGAAACATTACCAACAGGTAAAATGGTCTTCATTTAAAGGGATAGTTCACTTTGAAATTATTTTTTGGTATGTTTTAGCTTACCTCAAGGGCATCCAAGATGTAGGTGTCTTTGTTTTTAAGTCAAACCGTTGTTGTCTGTCAGTCATGTAATGCAGGTCTATGGTCACCACCTCAAACAGCATGCACAGAGAAGTCCAAATTAAGCATGATTTAATGACTCGTAAATGTAAGTACACATTGATGGCCTAAGACACGAAACGAGCGGTTTGTGTGAGAAAACGAACAGTATTTATATTGTTTTACCTCTTGTAACCACAGCCACGTCCAAGTGATCTGAGGGCGCGGGCACTTTGTGGCTGTGGTAACCAGAGGTAAAAACGATAAAAATACTGTTCGTTTTCTCACACAAACCGCTCGTTTCGTGTCTTAGGCCATCAATGTGTACTTACATTTACGAGTCATTAAATAATGTTTAATTTGGACTTCTCTGTGCATGCTCTTTGAGGTGGTGACCATAGACCTCCATTATATGACTGACAGACAAGAACGGTTTGACCTAAAAATATAAAAATTGAAACTACTGCGGAAACAAAGACACCTACATCTTGGATGCCTTTGAGGTAAGCTAAAACATACCAAAAATTAATTTTAAAGTGAACTATCCCTTTAAGATACATATTTTTGCAGTGTTCACCCCTTGTGCAGCACAGAAAAGCCACATGACAATAATAGTTTGTGATATAATGAGCAAAATCACCTCTTCTTTTTTTTACAGTGTAAAAACAAGTTCTTTGTGTTCAGTCTTCCATGAAGGCACTTAGCACGACGGCCGTTATCAAACACACTCTTAGTTAACAACTAAACAAGGCTCCCGAGTCGACTGCAGTGATCCTCTGCTAAGATCCTGAATGTGTCTGACCATCTGCTGAAACAATACATCTATAATGTCATTATCTGTTGTTCGCAGCCAGACAGTCTACTCTGAGCCTTAATGCAGGAGTCCACAGCCTGAAGCCGCCCGCTCCGCATGAGAACCAGGGCCTGTGGGGAAATCCGTAACCCTGGGTTCCTAACGATCGTGTCTGCATACATCACCAGAGCCAGGTATTGGATTTCTCCCAGGGTTCTCAAAGTGGTCCACACAGCATGGGGGCGCACTTTTGCCCTTTCTCCTCCTGTTCCGACAAGTCTGGGATCCTGATCAATTAGCGCGGATCCGGTTCGGCGTACTCGCACGAAAGGCTCTGTGTCGCCTGAGACAGCGGGATTCTCTTGTGACCCCACAGGAGCCAAACACACAACTCATCGGCATGCACGAGGGGCGTTCACGTTCAAGCATGCTTACAAACACAGTGCTCATTCTGTCTTGCGTCAGTTAATAGATCCTGTCATTAGTTTAGCTCTGTAATTAAGCAAAATGGGTGAGCTGAAAGCTGTGGAATAACTGTTTGTCTTAGTTTTCCGGTAGGGGGTAAACAGTTGCGGCAGACTGATGCCAATATTTGAATGCAACAAATACCACTGGAAAATAAATACACAGCCTTAAAGAGATTTACTGAAGTGCAAATATATGAGTGTTTCTTCAACGTTAGGCACAATTATGTCCAATGACAATTTATTTTTTTATTCAAACTAACAGATTTCTCAATAAATGATCACAATCAAACTATAATGGAATTTTTTTACAATTACAGTCTTCATTTACTTTTACTACTTTTCAATTGCCTTTAATATACGTACACTACCATTTAAAAGTTTGGGTGCAGTTAGATTTTTCCATGTTTTTAAAACACTGTTATTTTGTGGAAACCATGATTTAAAAGAGAAAGAGAGAGAAAAAGAATTACATTTCTTTGAAATAGAAATATTTTGCAACAATGTTAATGTTTTTTTTTTACACTCTTAATTAATTGAATGCATCCATTCTATTTTTTTTTTTTACTTACTGACTGACATATTTAATTAGTACATATTTCATTGTTTTACTCTTGTCCTATCTTACAGTACACATTTAATTGTTTTACTCTTGTCCTATCTTAAAATACAAAAATCCATCAAAAATATGAATTGTTACTATGGGCATTCCTATTGTCCCACCGTCCAGTCTCCCTGATTCCACCATTCCTCAGCCATGAGCGCCCCCTCCCGAATTCTAGTGATTTGCATACTTTCTCCTTAGTATGCATTATTGGCTCTCTGATTTCCCTCACCTGTTCTGAATTATATCTCATTGCCCAGCCTTTATCTGCCTCGTTCACGGAGCGTTCTTTGCAATTTTGTCAAATTGTACTGTAATTTTGTCAAATTATGAAAACCCTGAATATTTTCAAAACATATGGAAATATTATTTAATTGTGTGTATTTAGGACATGGAATGGAAATGACTGGTGGAAATTTGTATTACTTTCAGATAAAAAGACTTATTCAATTATATATATTTACGTACTGTTCGATGTTAATGACGGCCAAAAAAAAAAAAAAAAACTAGTGAGAGTGTAAAAAGTGTTTTAAGAAAGGGCCAAACATGGCTATTGTTAAAGAAATCCATGTGCTTAATCAAGTAAACTATTGCTAATGCTAAAACTGACTTGACTAAATTACGACAGACTGCAAGTTATATTGAAGTGAAAGTCGCCATGATAACCTGTTCCTATAGCAGTACAGAGGAACAGGAAGGATAAGTTTTTACACAACACCTCATCAACTAATTCACTGTGAGGAACACGAGGGGGTAATATTGCCCTTCTCGAGAGGACATGCAACAAGCACAGGAAAGCGTGGGTACTGGTGCTGACAGCTGTGGCTTTACCACCTTGCAGCTAAATGCAGCAAGTTTCGCTTCCCAGCTGTCTCATTTAAAGCATGCATCAACCAGGACTGATTGCATCTCCTCCAAGCACTGTTCCCCATTAGACGCCCATTGAGGTCTATAAACCGATGGCTTAACTCTATCAGTGTGCCTAATCCTTCTCTCCTCTCAGGCTGACCCGCGGTTTCAGAGCCAGCTGTGGCCTTATCTGCGAAGAGAGTCATTAGGACCGGTGCTTCTCGCCCTAGGCAGGAAGTGCAAAACATGCTGTCTCTCCTCAGGTGCGTGATGCGTGAGGACACCTGCTCTGATGACACCTGCGTGACCAAACCTGCTTTATCCGACGAGCAACAACTGCTGGGATTAACCTTGTAACGGTGTTCAATGAAGCGCAGTCACGAGTTAATCGACAAGTGCAATCCAGTGCCCTTTGCTCCACTAATCTCAACAAACAGAACCTACCATAAAAGCCAGTAAAGATGTGTGTGCCACACTACGACTGTAATCCACAGTAAACACTTATATGCTGTAAAAGGCAGTGTGGCCTAGTGGCTAAAAACTATGGCTGCATCCGAAATCGAAATTTTCATGATTAGTAATCACAACATTTTTTCTTTTGTCAAATCAACTTAATTTATTTAGTTCAGATAACATATAATTGTGAGTTTGTGATGATTAAATCATTCTCCTTCATTGAATTAACTAACTTTTTCCATTTCAATGAACTTAAAAATTCAAGGCAACCAGGCTATTTATTTTTTTAAGTTAAACCAACAATATTTTTTTACAGTGTGACAAAATGTCCGAATTCACAGTACTCATAAAAAGAGTAGGCAAAAATTACCTGAAGTGAGCAATAAGGACATGAGGGTTTATGAATGGCGAGGCTGGTCACATGATAATGACAATGTTGAATGTAGTATTCGAGAATGTATTTCTATTTTGGACCAATGTCGATTTAGTCCAATTATATTTGAGCTTAGAAGCAGCTATCGGTATTCAAAATGAACCCAAACAAACACACCCTTCCCTTTATTGCTCCGCCTCAAAATACACAAACACTCAATGCAAAAATGGATCACCGCACCCTCATTGTAGCATTTTTTCTAAATATAACCTGCAGGTTACCACTGTGTAGCAGTGCTGTTTATGTAACTATTTCAAAGTTATATGATGGGCACATTTGTCTGAATAATTTGTCTAATATGTGCAGGTTTTATGTATTTTATTATAATTACTTAGACACATACTGTATGTTTGATCATACTTGTCACTCAAGATCATTTTATTGAATAATTCTTTCTGCAAATGGTCTTCTAGCAAAATTCAAGAAATTATGAGTTTGAAATGAGGTGGACCAAGAAATGGACCAATAAAATACTACTTCAAGCATCCTCTGATTGCAAAAGTATCTCCAAAAATTGGAAAAGAAGAGTTTAGCCTCATGTCACAAAAAAAGAAAGTTTGTTCACAAATTTATTGAGTAGATTATTGCAGGAAAAACACAGTGGTGTAAAGCTGAGTTTACATGACAGATATGCAAAATACTTCACATACTTTCCACCTTCATTTGTAGCAACAAATAGTGTGTTATACAAAACCACAATCATCACACCATCAGCTCTAGTGCAGAATTTCATCAACTTTCCCAGCTAAAAGGAACACTCAAAAAACGTTTTAAATTTTGCCTTTCTTCGATACAGAGGAAAAAGGCCATTGACTGTATGCTCTTTATTAACACACACCAATGTTAATAGAGATGGTTCTTGCATTATCAGTAGTTGAAAGTTCTTCAACGAGCACTGAATGCATTGCATGCAATACTAAATTCCAGAACCTAATGACATTTGGTTCTTTAACGGATCTCACACATTCATTCCTCAACCAATGAGGACAGAAGTACTCTCACAGCAATACTTCATCGCATCCGCACCACCAGTGACACCAATGTAGTTCAATTACAGAATGGATGACTCATGCAGTTGTTTTCAGTGTGTGGGGTGCGAGAGTATCCACACAACACAGGACTACTTAAAGTTATTGACATGTTTGAGCAATAGCGAAACATTTGCAGTGGACGACGAAGTACACAAATCAAGTACTTGAAAACAAGTACAAAAGTATGATCTAAAATGAGTTGCACTTGAGGGATCAGATACACACACTTATGTGTCAAAATGCCTGTCTTGGTGTGCAAACACAGTGGGTTATGTCTTAAGTGAACGAAAACAGTTGGAAAAGAAATCTGATGTGTATGGATATATTGGATTTGTGCAATAGGTCTTAAAGTGACAGCAGCCTAATTTACCTGCTGCTGTCTGTCATTTATGTTGATCAAACAACAAAAGAAAAAGAGATGAGATGCTCTTATTTAAATAACATTTGTAACATCAATTCATTCAGTGAATACTATGCAGTTTTTTATTTTACATTAATGACTTTATTCAGTATCTATAGTTGAATATTAGGCTAGCTCAATATATACCTCTAAAAAACTGTATTTAATTTGTGTTTATTTGTTCTATTGATTGTAATTTGCTTCTTTCTTATTACTGATTGTTTACTTCAATAATTGCTTAGGAATTGCTGTTCGCAGTCAGTCAAAACCATCCAGCCAGTGCAGTGAGATTTCCAGAAAAAAAATTGTGTAATGAGTGAAGAAACACAACGAACTAACCAGCTACTGACTATGTGACGGCGTGTAGTTTCAGATACACATTTTGTCCATAGTATTTTATAAATATTTATAAAATGTAATATGTTAACACATTTTTTATTGTTGTTTAATAAATATACATAAGGCCAGTTATTGGATTGCATTAGTAGTTTGGTTGCATTAGTAGTTTGAGAGTTGCACACAGCTTTGGGCAGGGGTGTGAACTGGCACTGTTTTTGAGAGATGAGGAGATATCTGGTGTAGGACTCTGTTTCACAATGGATTCAACAGGATAATTTCTGAATCTGCACTGCACAATGTCATATCTATCAATTTATGAAAGTGTTTAAAGAAGGGTGCTTTAGAACAAAAAATGCTATTACTTCTTGCTTTCCTGTATTGTGCTTCAGCTCTCTTTCAGTTGCTAAATGTGTGAGTGTACGTTAGATTAGTCTAAGCGTTTAATCAAGTTAATAAAGTCATTTTACACGTAAAGTTGTTTGTGGTTCATATACTGGAGTCCCTAATCTTGCAGTTTTAGATGATTAGGATATAGTTTATGTAAACAGTACAATAACATTTATGAGGAATATCACACATGCAGTGTGCAGGAAGATGACAAAAAAAGTTATAGTGATAGTACTCGGAGTGATAGTACATAGGCTATGACATGTTGAGGGTGTTCTCACATCTACTTGTCTGTGGTTTCTGGTTGAAGACAAATGTGTATTTAACAGAGTGGACCTAAATCATCCGCAGCAAACCAAATAAATCAACAGAGGTTTTTCAGTCTCGTCGTGCTAAGACTTTTCAAATAAGATGTTCAGACGTATCCTTCTGGCCACCCTGCTGATATGCTCAGGTAAAATTAGCACTGGTCAATTGGTCATTATCTTAATCGCGTTAAGATGGACAATGCTGCATGTAAATTCCAACCAGGATATGTATTTCATTTAAAAAGTTAAAATAGTTTCTTTTTATTGTTTAAACCAGGTTACATTCACATACATATTTTCTCACGGTTTAACTGAACTCATATGTTAAATGTTCATAGTAGGGAAGTTTTCTCTTGGCAACTGGGATTAGTATGTGCTATATTTTTCCTCACAGTTTGTGCTCTTGATCTGGAATTGCACAGAGGAGACTTTCCTGGAGATGAACTTGAACGCTTGGTGAGTTGTCGTCAATGTGGTTTATCATGGATAGCTTAATGACGCTAAGACATATAAGTAGTGGTCAAACATGTTTGTTTGATGCTGATACCAATTGCCAAAACTATAAGAGGTTAAAACTTTGCCATAATGCTGAAACTACAATTGAATGCCAGATGCAGAGAAGCTTGACAATGCTTTTCAAACAACTAGTCATGTCCAGTTTGAACTGCTAATTAGGTTAAAACTGTCTGCTTAAACTACTTAATATAATATGCCATGTCTGTTGTCTTGTAAGGGCAAGCTGGCACAAAGCGAACAACTCCCTGGATTGTGCTGGGCTTGCAAGTGGGCCATGGGGAAGTTGAAACGCCTAGTCTCCACTAAATCAACTCAGGTGTGCTATAGGCTACTCTTGTATCTGACTTTAAAAAATGTGTTTTTCAAATAACAAAAAAAAATATATATATTACAGAATGCATAGAAACAAGTGGAGTAAGGTTAATTCTGATTCTTTCTTTTCCTACAGGGCGAAATAAGAACAATGCTGTCGCACGTCTGTGATGAGATCGGGTTCCTTAAATACCTGTGTAGGACATTTGTGGCAAGGTATATAAACACTCTGGTCGAAGAACTTTCAACTACTGATAATGCAAGAACCATCTGTGTTAACATCGGTGTTTGCTAAAACGCTTTGTATCGAAGAAATGCAAAATGTCATTTTTTTTCTATGTTTTTCAAGTGCACTCTTTAGCTGGAAAAAAATGGATGACATTCTGCACTTTAGAGCTAATGGTGTGATTATTGTGGTTTTGTATTTCACACTATCTGTCGCTGCAACTGAAGGTGGAAATGACGAAGTTATTTGCATATGTTTCACGTATCCTCAGCTTTACGCCACTGTATTTTCCTGCTATTAACTGCAAAATAAATGTGTGAACAACAAACTTTCATTTTTTGTGACATGATTCTAAACTCTTTTTTTTTCGATTCTTGGAGATACTTTTACAATCAGAGGACGCTTGAACTGGTATTTTATTGGTCCATTTCTTGGTCCACCTCATGATCATTTCAGACTCTTGAATTTTGCAAATTACTCGGCAAAGAAGACCGTTTGCAGAACGAATTATATTGAGTGACATGTGTGATAAGTATAACTGCACACTTTTAGACAATTAGACATTTTATACAGACAAGTGGGTTCAAATGGGTCCATTACAACTTTGTAATCACAGCGTAAACAATACATTGCATGCAGTGGTCCTGCTACACAGGTAACCTGCAGGTTATAATATAATATAATACAATATAATATAATATAATTTAGGCTGAGGTGATGCTTAGCATGCATTTGGAAAGCTTATATAAATCCTATCTTCAATTCCTATGCTATATGCAAATTTAATGGAGTTCACGTCAACGAAAGCAACAGATATGACCTGTATTTTATTTATCATCAGCTAATTTCAAGATCAAAGACCACAATAGAACAAAGAGCGGCATCAGCACTGGTAAGACCATTAAGTCTCACTACTTTTAATGAAGGTGATTATAAGCATCTGCGACACACTTTCAGTTTCATTTGAGGCAGTTTGCACGTCGGCTTGCTGAAGTGAAGCGTGTTGCATGTCATATAACAGGCTCTCACATGTCTATTTTTTTACATTTTGGGAGGAGTAAAATTTACATGTGGTTTTAACAACCAGATGCATTTTCACTTGTCCAGTTTCATCTGGAATGGATCTCAGACCCCCTCCTGAAGTAGTATGAGTGATTGGATTTGAATCAGTCTCGAATCTGTCACTTATATACTTACATTTATTATAAGGTTGATAGATGCATTGAATGTTAATATAACTTTTATTCATCTTTGTTTTTGTTATTACTTTCCCCTGTGTAAGTTCATATTTACTTGGTTGTCATAGCGTTGTCCCCGTTTGTCTCCATGGCTTCTGATTAGTTAATTGATTAGTTTAACCTGTTTCTAGTTTAGTGCCTCAATTTGTCTTGCGTCTTCATATTCTTTGTTCACTTTTTTTTGGTATTGTCTGAATGGTTGGTGTATAGTGCTCCTGGGGTTTTTTCTGGGCCTTCCTGTGCCAGAGATTTTGGTTTTGTTTTATTTTGAGTTGAATAATAAGTCAATAGCGTCAGTTCTGGCAGGTCACGTTAGTCAAGCTCGCAGAGTCAGCTGATCCATGTCTACCAATAGGAACACAACGCCTATTACTGTAAACATATGATATGTTGATCATATGATCAATACCGCTCCTTGAGTATTATCAGCAGCTATCGCATTTCTCTGAAGCTAATTACCCTCCTCCATCCCCAGCTCCTCCTCTCGTCAGTCAGGATATGGCATTGAATTATGTTGTACTTATGATATTTATGAAGTGTACCAGGACCTATAGTCGAACTGAAACACATTTTGAGATATAACACCAAGCCCAGAGAGATGTTATGGTTGTTAATGCACTATTTTTTGTATCTGTGGTGCAGTCATAAATGTGTACCGTGACTTTAAAAGGTGTTGACGTGTCTGCATCCATAGCGACCACCGTTTTGTCCACCGTACTGCCTGGCATGCTGCGCCGCCGGCCCACCCTGTCAGTGAGTGACTCTGAGAAGAGATAGAGAGAGAGTGTTGATTCTAGGATCAGATTTACCCAGAATAAGTGAACCCACCAAATGAACACAGTTTAGAAACCATCAAAAATCGATAACAGTACTGGAAAATCAAAACCAGCTCATTGTTCATAACCATTTCTTTTTGATTTAAAGAGATGAAAAAGTGTTAATGGGCACAGCTAGCTTAAGGCTTCCTATTAAACACCTATTATAAACACCTTATTCAACATCGTATTCCGAAACTCCAACGAGGAGATATATGCAAATGCTCCGTCTGCAAGGAACTGTGGGAATTGTATGATTGCTAATTGGCATTGTTTGGTTTCCATTGGATTATGCTGGAACACTATTTTTGATCAGGATAGTGCTGCTCATTTCTTGTGGGTAGCTACCAGTGCATTGTTGCCAAGGTGCTAAGTTGCTAAGGTGTTCTTTGTGTATTTAGCATGTTACTATGCAGTTGCTATAAGGGGTTCTTGGTGCTCACTAGGATCTAAATAAGTTGCTAGTATGTTTTGAATGGTTGCCAGGGTGATGCTGTGCAGTTGTCAAGATGTTTTGAGTGCATTTAATGCATTGCTATGTGGTCTTCTGGGTGGTATTGTTGCAATGTGAGTGCGTTAGCAGTTTGCTTATTGGCTCAAGTCATAAGGCCCACCCAGTCTCTATGATATGCTGCTTCTGTGGTAGCATCACTATGTCAGTCACATGTTTCGGTCATGCACGGCCAGATGGCTGAATCTCAGCCTGAACCAGCCTGTCAGACGCTTGGCATTCATCACACGCCTGCATCTCTGTCTGCAAGATTGATGGAAGGAAGGAGGGAACAAGTGTTTGTGCAGAAAACAAATGAGAGAGTGAACACAGCCAACCTGAAAGACAAAATCTATGAAATTCATCCTACTGTCTGAATCATTTCAAACTCCAAACAAAGTGAAGGAACGGCTTCTTTGCCTCGCTGGTTTTGTACTTGGAAAGATGCGTCACTAACAAGATCTGGAAGTCTTTTTTCTATTTCTGACAGCACTTTTCCTCTGCCTGAATTGTTTATTATAATAAGAAAGCCTCATAGAAAACTACACTGTAAAAATATCCTGTTACATTTACAGTAAAATAATCTGCCAGCTGTGGTTACCTGAAATAAATACTTGCGGTATTACAGGATATATTTTACAGTTTATAACTGTATATTTCATTAAGTGGTATATTGTTAATATATCTACTTGAACTACCAGCTTTTTACCATAATAATACAATAGAAAGTCACACAATGATTTTATATCCACATGACATTTAAATAATTCAATTAAACTGCAAAAAATGTAACAGTCTAATGATAGCAAAAACTACAAGAAACAAAATTATTTATAAAAAAATACAATCATGTGAAGTGTTAAATGTTAAAACATTTACAGTTTTTCACCAAATATGGTAAGCCAACAGTTAATCAATTAACAGGTTTTTATTGAAATTTTCTTACAGTGTGCAAAGAGTATTAAATTCACTTTCTGTGCATTGTACCTTGAAACAAACCAATGATACGAATTACTAAAATTAAACAATTATGTGCTATTAAATATTTGCACAATTTAATATAAACAAGGATCTGTATTTCCACCTCAGTCATCATTTAGTATTGGCTGAGCAAAACTAGACATGATCTAACAACATGGAGGAAGAGTGATTAACAGCCCTGCGTAGGTATCGACATATGAAGATTCCATCTGTCTGTGTGTGTGTGTGTGTGTGTGTGTGTTAGTAATTTTATTGGAGAGATGAACAGATTGGAATGCATGAGAGAGAAATCTCAATGCCGCCTCTTGCTTATGTTGACATCACAACATCCTGATCCATATGTTAATACGTTAATCATAAAAGCAAGACCATATGATCTTTGACTTCAATGTTTGAAACACTTAAGATTCACTGGGTTTATGGGAAACTTTTTATTATAAAATCTATTAGTGAGCCACAATATTTGTGTAAAAATGTATGAATAAAAATTAACTATTTAAATATATATTAATTGAGCACAATTTCTGGTGCTTGACAGACTTCTTAAATTTTCTTCTGTTGTGCTGCACGGAATACAGAGTCATACAAGAGTAAATTGACCTTTTTTTTCTTTTCTTTCAATTAAGCTATAATAGCCTATTATTATTTTCAACAGTTCATACAACATAAAAGCTCCTTCGTGGCAAAGTTACTATAGCCTGGCTCCGCCCTCCTACATACTTCCGCTCAATTTCAGTAGCACCTCATTGCAGTACACAAGATCCAGGGGGCGGAGTTGGATCCAGGTCTAAGGGGTGGAGATGGGTAGGATTAGGGATCAGGGGGTGGAGATGGGTAGGTTTAGGTATATGTAATTTTAAATGCATTTTAAAATTGGATTTCATGTTATGCAGTGAGGACCATCTCTTCAATTTTCATTTTCCTTCAGTACTATGTCTGGGATTGTGGTGTCTTCGGGACCAAAAATGATGAAAACATTTTTTTCTTAAAATTCACAGATGAATTGCACGCCATAAGTCCAGGAATATTTATTAAGAAAATAAACAGGTTCAAATTGGACTTTATGTTGTCAAGTCAAAGGCACCGTGAATAACAACTACAACAAAAACATTCAGCAGCTCTCCATCAGCTGTGGTAAAAAAAAAAAAACTCTGAAAGCACTCTTTGCCCTGAATGATGAATACAATGCCATTACCAACCTTCAAACTGGTAATTGGTTCAGCTATTCTTTCATCATGAAGCTGCTTGATCACGATGGATAAAATGCAGCGCAAATGGAAAAACATTAAGCAGCAATTAAGAGATGGCTCCAACATTCCTCCACTCAGAGCCAAGTGTTTATGAAGAGTGGAGACAGTAAAATGCTTTCATTTTGAGAGCACAACACAAGGGCCTCAAAGATAAGCCTCCTCTGGCACGGACCTGCGAGCAGGGGGTCTGAACTCTGACTGTTCTGTGCATATTTGTCCAGAGCAAACATGCTGACAAGACAACAATAGTTATCTGTATGAGTTTCTGTGGACATACTTTCCATTTCAGAGTGGACAAAAATGTAATAAACAGAATGTTGTTGTTGGGACAAACTTTTATGTTGGCTTGAAAAAGCCTTGTCTGAAAGATTTATAAGCTTCCCAAGCATGTTTCATGTTGTTAGCATGTCTTAACATTCTACTAGCTTATTATCAGTTATAGCACATTGCGCAATCATGAATTAACATGGTGTTGACATGAATTAGCATGTTTTAACACATTGTTAGCATGAAATAGAATGTTGCTAACATGTTTTAACACATTGCTAACATGTTTTAGCAGGTTGCTAACATGAATTAGCATGTAGTTAAAATGATTAAAAATGTTGTAGCATGATTAAAATGCTTTAAAATGTTTTAGCATGATTAAAATGCTTTTAACGTGATTAACATATTGCTAGCACTAATTAGCATGTTGATAACGTGCTTTAGCATGTTGTCCTATGATAGTCATTAAGCTCTATAGAGATAAATACAGCTTCAATACTTCAATAAGTCTTGTTGTAGTTAGTCTTGAGACCATCAGTGAAAGTCGATGGGACTTTTCATAGTTTTGATCGTCCGTTTAACGAAAACCGTGGCCCCAGTAACTTTCTTGAAATAATAAATTAATCTCTACTGAAAAAAAGCAACAATATAACAACAATTCCACATAAGTTAATCAGTTCAGCCCCCGATCTTGGGCCATTTACCAGAGAATTACAGCAGAAATGCATGGTGCTAACGGCCCTATTAATCTGCACTGAACAAGATGCATGGCCCAGCTGTATAAGAGACGTCTTCACGGGGTGCCATCGTCCTCCATCTGATCTCACAAAGGACTTTGTCATTCCAGGAAATTATATAGAAGTGCTAGGGTCTCATTTAGCATTCAAGCAGGCTATAACTCACAGACTTGTCTCATTTACTCTTAATCTAAATGCACGTTCCTTTCTTCAGGTCTGGCTCGACTTATCGCTGGAAGAGATGAGTCTTTGCAGGGTCCTTCAGTTTGGTAAGATGAAGGCCAGGGGCACAATGTTTTTGTACTTATTTAGCAGCGACGCTCTTCTCAAGAAGTAAAAGCAAAGACGATAACATAAAAAGCTACATAACTTATGCTGATATTTGGTCAGTATTTGGGTAACGTAAGGTGACTGGCAGGTGTCAAAGGAATAGACAACACAGACAATTGATTTTGATACCGAGACAATAGAGGATATCCGCGTGACGTCACCGTCGGCCGGAGTGCCTGCAGTTACTCACAGTGAGTGGCAAAAAGACTGGGCGGCTGTATTTGTTTTCAGCGTGAATGCCGCGAAACACAAACACAACACGTATAAAGTGGGAAAGAGCTTTGCGATTGACTGTACAAATAGTTTTGACGGAAAAATCGGAGGTAAATTTTTATAGACAGCTATAGAAAGAGGAGCAAATGGATCGCTGCAATTCACAGACACAACTGGACTCCAGTCAGCGAAAGGTGGATTTGCAGTTATCATTTTGTGTCAATATGCTGAATTTAGGTGTAAAACCATACCCATACAGTACATATTTTGTATTCAATTAAATTCAATTAAATTAAATATTTATCATTGCATATTCTGCATTATTGGATGTTTTTTAATAAACACTGACCAAAAAAAAAATTTATAAAGTTTTAGGGCTGGACGATATGATGATATATATAGGCTATATAACACTGATATAAGTAATCACCCAGATTTAGACCTACCTATTTCGTATTTATATAAAGCGTTCACAGGCAAATTTGCTTTATCTTTAGGTCTATATTGCTTTTATTTCCCCGGTGTGGAAATCAGGCAAACATAAATGTCAGGCAACACGATTACTGGCTACATGTCAATATCCATGTATCACTGGATCTTTAGTAAGTTGTAAGGAACACTGTATTGAGTCCAACATTTCGTTTAAATTGATAAAATTGTTCGTTTTAGTCGCATTTTCA